TGCTCATTTTATACTATGACTAGAAAACACCAAGCTGGGTTGGGGGTAGGGGTGTCTCACGGTCTTATTAAGTGCTTTTACAAGTTGATTTTTTTAAAGGTTAAAGGACATACTTACCATAAGGATGCATGTGAGCCTTGAATCAATTCCTTCTTTTAGTTTTACACTGTTGGAATCAGTGTTAGCAACTTTTAAAAACTGTGGCAGTGACATTGCAATGAACTGTTGTAAACTCCCATAGATGTAATTAGCCCTGTAGTAGCTAGCCTTTAATTAGCTTTGTGGATGGATTAGCCTTTGGTCTCACTCCCTTATCCTGCTGGTCTTTGCACTGGCTATACAGATGCCAAATCAATAATGTCCCTATCCTGAAAACACTAAAATAAACCACAAACATCTTGTTCTGAATTGGATGATCTATTTTTTATCACTTTTCTTAATGGCCAAAAAAGAGCACAAACAGGAAGAGCACAGCTGTTACCTGGAAAACAAATACATTTGTTCAAATAGCTGAGTGTGGATCTTACAGGCAGAAAGCGAGGAGGTGAGCGAGTGAGTTATTAAATTATCTCTGGGTTAATGTGCACCTTACAGTCACTTGCAGCTTGGCTCTTGTGACGTCAAGCAGGAGATTGAAAGTCTGGAGTGCTGTCTTTTCTTTAGGTTTAACCTTTTTTGATTTTTCCTTGGTCTCTCTTCTCTTACTTTGATTTCTGTTTGTCTCGAATACATGAAGACTCCCTGCATCATATTTTCACATGTGGACAAGTTTCCAGTGACACGGGCTGAATCTCTGGCTAGTGAGATCTGAGATCGTCAGGGTAAAATCCTACTTTTAACAGCATAAACTCCTACAAAGAGCTTGTGTATGGAACATATGACCATATGTCAGAGCAGACTTGCTTAGGAAGTGCTGAACCCATACATGTTGGCATGTATTCCTTCTGTAAGTAGGCCGTGTTTCATTGTGTTCTTAATGTTCTGATTAGTAATGCAAAGTCATTATAAAAGAACAAGAATCAAGCTGTTCTCCATTAGAACAGTGGTGGTGTATCTTAAAAATGAGAAATGTAAAGCTGTTAAACAGTAACTTTTAAAAACGTATATGATGCAAAGTAGAAAGTAGCATTTTATAGTTTAAGATAGGTGGTTCTTGTATTATTTATTCTAATAAGAACCAATGTTTATGAGAGCACACATTTTTAAACTCTTAATATAAACTATTTATTGTGAGATGTAAAATAAAGTAGGCCACTGTGTGTAAGGGCTGTTGCCATCTGCAATTCCTGCAGATTGGCCTGACAGTAATTTTAATCTCAATGGTCAAGCTTATTTTATGGTTGGCTTCTGTAATTGAAATCAGTTATTAATCAGCAAGAGTGGGACTTTTAATTGATTTTGCCCCAGCTCTGTAACTACAGAGGGGCAACATGCCCCACAGGACAAACAATTCAGCCATTGGCTTGAGCTCATAGTTATCAGCTAGAAGTCTTATTGTGTTGAGTGGAATGGGAAAGCTTCTCAGACATGCAAGCAACAACTTTTATTTGCTTCTCTTACTTACTGATATTGTTATATTGTAAACCTTCATGTTGAAGGATTTACATAAAAGACAATGTGCTTATTTGTATTTTGCAACAGGGAATCTGTGCCCTATACCTGCTTCTGTGTATCTATTAAATACATTTTTTAGGTAGGTGATTTGGCACAGTGTGACAGTTTATGTAGCTGTACACATGCAAGACTCAAGAGCTAGCCTGAGCTAGATCCCTGGGCTCCCTTGCTTGATGTCTTTCAAATATAAATTGCTTTGTTATTCTCTGCTGTGTTTTAGATCATAGATCTGATTAGTAACTGTTTTGAAATCTGTCAAGGCATCAAAACACAGATTGCATTTGCCTACTGCTTGTTTTCCTATTGCATTGTTTGTGGTTTCATGTTAGCTTTTTCCCCCATTCTTCACCCTCCTCTTTGTATAAAAAGAATATAAATACTGGGGCCACTGTAGATAAACCACAGTGAGTGTGGATGTGACGGTAGCTTCCAGGCTCCCAGTCTTCTTTGGTGGTCTGAGAATAAGGAGGCGTAGAAGAGAGAGCAGACGCCCCTTTCCGGCAGCTTGGCTCAGTTTGTTTACATAAGCGACACACCCGGGGGCTGCATTGTGGGTCAACACCCCACCGCGCAAACACACAACTGTCCATCTCCTCTCACACACACATACATACACCATCAATATTATCGCCTCAGTGGCCTGGACTCACACATAGTCAGATATCAAACCCTTTATTATTCAGAATGGTCTGACAACAAGCATCTAAAATCTGTAGACTAAAAAATCACATTGAGTGTGATTCTGATCTGAATGGAGTGCGATGAGTTCTTTAGCTAGTTGTGTGCAGAATTGCGTATGCTGTTGCCCCATACAGATGCTGCTTCGCCGTGTGGAATGCTGGAATGCAGGATCACATGCACAGGAAAGGTCATGTGATTCTTACATGGAACCGTTGGTTTGTAATTCCTAATGGGATACATCTGCAATTAAGAAATTCTACTTCTCCTTAGTTCTTCATAGAGAGATACCAAAACCATATTTGAATCTGCGCTTCAAAAGTGTCTTATTGTCACAGTAGTCAGAACAAAACTGGCACTCATCAAAATTGCACTTCAAAGCTATGTACTGTTGCAGCATGATAAAAACACTGAATGCAGTGTGTTTAGCACCGCAGTACTTTATACGTGCCATTGAAATTATCCAGTATAACTGCCGCTAGTCTAGTCATTGCCTTAGCAGTGTTTTGTAAAGGTACAATTAGTGTCCAGCCTTATTCTCCACAAAGCTAAGACGGCTACAGTGTGATCTTTCTTACACTCCCTTATTAATATTCCTTGCTCACCTCCTGCGGGACAAAGTGAACAGATCAGTATCCAAGCACATCAATCCAAGCTCTGAACTGGGTACTTCTTTTTCCGGTATTCCAAAACAGTAGATTAAATAGGCAACTAAGCCATTTACAAAGGTGTCTACAAGTTACTGTAATAGCAATAAAATAATGATGTTTTTTTTTTATTATAGCTCAAAACCTTTCAAGCAGCAACTGTTAGTATTAATCTGTCTAGCTCTCCCATATGTCCATCTGTATAATGTGCATTATGATCCATTTTCATCACGTGTGTTAGTTCGCTGGAGTTATAACAAAGAAAATCTTTATTTGGGATGTTCTGACTTTTTCAAAGGGAGGCCATGATTTTCTCCTGGGCTACAGTAAATCACAGATGATAGATCTGCCAGATCTATACTTAGGGATGGTTTTAGCTGTGGCCTGGAACCATGTAACACCCACACCCACATCCACACATATATACAAACACCCATGATACATACAAACATATGCACTCCTGCACATCCCCACCAAGGGTGAGAGTCATCCATCTTAAAAGATATTAATTATTAATTTATTTGGCTGGTAACTGTAACCTCTGTCAGTTAGTTTGGATTTTTTGTTTTACACCCAAGCTTTGGTACCTATTTATATACCTGGAGCAGTCTGGGTAATGTTTCTTGTTCTAGGGTACAGCAGCAGTTCCTCCACCTGGGATTTGATCCCACAACCTTCCGGTTAGGAATCCAGAGCCCTAACCACTACTCTACACTGCCACCCACGAGAGTAAGTTTGTAGGCACACCAACAAAATCTGTCTCGATTCCTTATTCCAATAATGGCAACTGCAGCATCAGTACATATTTAAGTGTGGATAATGCTAACAAAGTACACCAGTGAATCTCTGCGCAAGTCAGGGTATTAAATGTACACTGTGCAGTCCAATAGCCAAAACAGTTTGCAAGGTTGAGATGTACAGTACCATCTTCTTTTTGCTGAGACCAGACAGAGAATTAGCCCAAGAATTGACCCTGGTAGTATCAAAGCACCTCAGCTTCCTAATTTGAGTAAGTCATGAAGGATTTCTTTATGACTTACTTTATCAGTCCTCATATGCCACATGGTGTCGTAGGGAGAAACAACTGCCCATTGACTGCCAACTGGAAGGCCCTGAGAGGGGGAATGCCATGTGTTCTCAGTATCTCTTTGACACCCCCAATCCAGGTTTTCCTTGATTGACCTCTGGCCTTGTACCCTGACATCCTACTGTTATGTATGCCAGTTTGTTAGTGGCCATATGAGCTAGATGAATAAACCACCTGATCTGTTTTTGCATTATATAGTGATAGAGCCATTTCTCTGATTCTTTCATGTTTTGAACTCTAGGATATATCATCTCTTCATATTTGCAGGAAAAATCAGGAATATAACCAGTTTTAAACCCACTACTTGTAAAAGATCTCCTATAGCCTTCCATCATTTTTATTGTTTATAAAACAACCCAGGCAGGAGATTCAAATTAAAATGAAATATTCAGTATGTGCTGACTGAAGACCGCCTTGGAGCTATTTAAGATTTCTATTAATAATCAAAATCCTCCTTAAATGGTTAAAGCTTACTATAATTATATTTGCAGGTATATCATTATGCAGTGCACTGCTTTGAAATTATGCTCACCAAAACCATTCTGAATAGTCAAGAGGTCTGTAATTGTTTATGAAATATCTCTGAGGGAGAGAGAGAGATAAATTAGTGTCTCTGACGGGAAGTAAATTTTATTCTTTGCTAGGGGTTATCTTTTCAACCAGCTAAGGGAAAGTTCTGGTTTGGGCTGATCCATTGGAGTAAACTTGTTTACGAGCTTTAACAGCAGTCTGACCACCACTGCCAGTCTGCTTACAGAGACCTACTGACTGAAGACTGCCTTGCATGAGTAAATCCTAATGAAGGCAATTTAACTTTGTTTCTCCATTCCAGGAAGCTTGCACAAATGCCCAATAACACACTTATGATTCATTACTGTATACTTTATTATATTATTAAATATAGCAAGATTGATAGGGAGGCTTGCCAGTCATTTCATTATTTCTGTGAGCTAAGCAGCATTGTTGTAGATCACTTAATAGTTATTAGAATAAACAATGACCAATTACATGTACAACTCTTACTGCTGAAGTTGATTAAGTTTGTATGCGTTTAAGAATGTATAATTTTTCTAATATTTCCACTTTTGAACCATGAGTTTAAAAGCATCATAGACCGTCAAATGGTCCACTCTCATTCTCCAGTGTAGGTCCCAGAGTTCATTCAGAAAGGATTGCAATCAGTCAGTACTTCAGGGCCCATGAGAGGTTGACAGATTTGTCCTCCGAGTGTGCAGGGCTTAAAACAGAAGAGATTTCTGATGCATGGCTCTCCTCTCATGCTGAGAAAAACACTGGTTTCATGTAATGTACTGTAAATAAAACACAGTACTTCTGGACTGTTGTAGAACGGTTTAAGTAACTTTTTTAATATACAGTTGGAAGCTGAAGTAATGGTGTCCTTTGCTAGCAAACGAGGATCTACGGTGGTAGAAAGCAAAGCTTCCTCCACAGTGTCTTCATACTGTATAAATGAATCCGACTTTTGCGTTTTACAGCGATTCTACCCCTTTAAGCTCTTACGACTTGTTTACCTCTTCCCAACCTCTGACGTCATGACACACCCCTGGTCCCGTTTTTATAGGGAGGCGGGGGGTTGTTGTCGCTGTATCCTTTGAAAAGCATTCCATTCATCCAATCGGAAAGTGACTGTCATGCGGGCTGTCCAATGAGCAGACGGGTGAAACGGCCTGCGGCTTTCTGATTGGCTTCTGGAGGATGTGGCTAAGCTTAGGATATGCCATTCCTGCTCACGGTAGGGGGGCGGGTTTTAGCGGAAGCGATATGAGTGTAGGTAGGGTAGGCTGTGGGAAGTAGTTTCGGCTCGGTGCTGTTTGAGTTTTACAAGTTTTTTTTATCATTATTTTGTGGTCAGTTCTGACACTAGTCACTCCTGCCACAACAGGCTGTCACTGAGGCAGTACTGCGTGTTTACTACGTTAAAGGAAATGAAAAGGGCACCACATTACTAGTACAGTACCTCGTTGGCAGCAGACGCTTTCGTGGTTTTGAAAACTAGCTGAATGTGTCGGTTTATGTTTCGTGCTGACTTTCCCCACGACATTAGATTAAACTCAAAATTCATGTGTCGGAAGAGACAGTCCCGCTGTTGAGGTTGGTTGAGCGTGGAGGGGTAGCGTTTAAAGACGGAGTCTTCACGTACTGTGAAGTACAGTTTTTAAGCTCCCTAGTATTTATTTATGGGGGGTGTGTGCGCGTTCTGCTAATGGGGCTCTGACGTTACGTCGGTCGAGTCGAGGAAGTTTGGAGCTGGGAGACCTGGATGTTTGTGAAGTTGTGGGAACGCCGCTTTCTTGGTGAGTATTTCAATGTTTTGCCCAACTTCCTCGGAACCGATCAAGTAAGTAGTGTTCGGGGTGTCGTCTGGCGCTTTAAAATGTCAGTGGCACCTGAAGTCCCTCACGCCGAGCCAGTGGTCGACATTGTGCGAGTTGATATAATCCAGCAGGTAAAGAAACTGGTTACCCACCTGGACCCATCGGGTTAAATCCTCTTGTTGCACGTTTTTGCGATTTGGGGCTTGCAGACTGGGAGACCGAGGGATTTACTGTCTCTTATTAAAACGACCCCCCCCCCTCCCCTCTTTCTATCCTGATTCAGCCCGTGACCAGCTAACTGTCCGCTAGGAAGCGAAGTGGCGACCCGCTTGGACATCACAAGGTCATGCTAATACGCCAGGTGAGTGACCTGAAAGCGCTTTCATTGATTTCATTAGTGAGAATATAAAGAAGCTGTAAGAATACAGCAACTGTCCTGCATTTGTCTGTACGTGCACACGTGTCAACTGTTTTTTTTTTTAAACAGATTAACGGAGGAGTTATAAGTGCTGACGTCGGAAAATGTTGCACTTGTCGGTCTATTTAATACGATTTAAACGTCAATGGCGTGATATTTCCGTGATTTTGGCAGTGGTAACGTGTGTTGACGTGCAGATTGCTCAACTGCAGAATTTTCCGCGCCTCCGTTTTAAAGTCATGCAGTCTGTCTGGATCCGAGCGACTCGCTCAGTGGAGCCGCTCTGCGCGCACAGCTGCGGTTGCGCTGGCGCTGGAGGTGCTGCGGGTTTTTTCCCCCGCGTTATTTTTAAAAACTATTTCTGGTTCTGGTGTGATACCGCAAAAAACTCCCCGAAGGACCTAAAGGCATACATCCAGGATAACAATCAATGCAGGTATTTATATGAATGAATGATAGGTTTTCACTGCCTGCTATGACAGAGACTGCTCTGTCCTGTTGGAATGCTCTTTGCACTGTTGAGCAAAGGAGTTTCAGACTACTGTTTTATTTTTACTCTGTGCACAGCTTGGAGAAGAGCTGCAATAGTGGCCCAATCACAGATTTTCTCTGGTGGTGTGGTTGCTCAGCAGACTCCTAAAAGAAGCATTTGTAAGGCTGTGGTTTCCCACAAGTTGTATATTTTCACACTACAGCGCATAAAGAGGGCCAATGTATGTCTCCTCTCTTCTCTGAATGAGTGAAGCGATCCAGCTGAGAGAAGATCCCATGTTTTGGTCACATCGTCTGTGCGAGAGATGAATTCCCAACATAATTTAGCCATGTTCCCATGTAGAATGTATGTTCAATACATATCCTTTTGTTTACATTTTCTTAATTCTAAGGTGCATTTCCTTTTTCCCCCCTCTTCATTCCATTTGTTTTGTTGCTGGACTCTGTGTCGCATGGCCTGCACAGAGGATTATAACATAGCTACATGGAAAGGGTGTCCAGTTTTTTTCTTCCATTTTTATTTTATGGAGAAAGGCATTTGTGTTTAATTCTGGGCTGGGGGAATCCCACTGTACAGAGTTTATGTTCTCCCCTTTGATATCATTGGTTTTCATCAGCTTCTCTGGTTTCCAAAGACATGCTGTAAATTGTCCCTGTGTGCGTGTCAACCTTGGGATGGACTGGCATCTCAGCCTGTGCTCTGTGCTTCCGTGATAGGCTCCAGGTTGCTGTGACCGTCATCAGGCATAAGCAGTTTCCTGTTGATAGATGGTGTAAAGTCCTTGTAACCAGGCAAGGAGTAATGTAACGGTGTTCAGAGCTTTAGACACCATGGTTGGGTGAAAGGGAAGGAACACTCTGATCTTGGTGCATGGATCTCGGCTTGATCTTTGTTGGTTTAAACAGGTATGCTTCAGAGCGAGGTGTGTAGGTCATCCATGGCATGAAAGAGATGACTTTCTTTCTAAAAGTCCAGTTTGTGTCACAGGCATTTTGTTAATGATGCTCACTGCTGTTTTGAAAGAAATTGTCGTACACAGGTGTGCATATCATACTGCCAGTGGGAAATGTATTGATTTACAGATAATATTCGCAGTGAAATGCTGGTCCTGTTGTTAGCTCTTAGTTGCATAATTTGTTTGCACGCTTCTTGTGAATAGTCTGTTATGAGTTTTTTTACAGTATATCTCATTGTAAGCAGGAATTTTATGAGTCCCTTCTGAAGAATTTGTAAGAGGCCATGTATGAATATTGAAATCTGACTTCTTTTAAATAAATCATTTTCTTTCCACTTTAAAAATGTTGAAATCCATCACCTTGCACAGCTCTCTGCAATATTAAGTTGCACTTCAATGCAATGCTTCAACATCTATGGTACCAGTTTTAACCTCTGAGTGGGCATCCAACTAGTAAATCTTACAGTATGTCTGCTTTGACTGGTGCTTGGTTGTGTCATCACAGATATTACCTACATCTCGTATGTCAGTTATTTTTTCATGTGTTTTATTGATTTTTTTTAATAAGCAAATTCCAATATATCACTTATCCCCCAAACCTTTGCTTTTGCTCGTACAGACGAACAACCTAAACACATATTTTAGTTAGTTAATGTGTGTATACTGTATAAATAATAAAAGAGAATGTAACAATCTTTACAAGGCCTTCACATGATACAAAGATCACCAATAAATTCAAAATGTTAAATGCAATAACAAAGCATTTAACAATTTAACAAAGCTTTAAAATGACATGATTAAAATACATCGATTAATTGATTTCAGACATGTTTTTCAATCATACTTACATTAGCTACAGGTGGCCCCCATATTATTTCAAATATGGGAGGTTGTCCCTGTACATGTTTTTTTTTCCAGTGTGCAACATGACAAAAGCTCATTCCACTCATTGTCTTGCAGAGGGTAAAATGTCTCTTTTCCAATATTTCAATATACACATCTTAGCTGCAGTCATTGCCAAAACTATAATTGCCTTTCTGATCAGATGTGTGGTTTTCATGCTTCACACCAGATTGATTGCTCCCAGTGATGCATTTGACCTGGATCGGAAATGGCAGTGTAAACATGCTTTTCTTTCTCTGGGGTCACAGCTATTCTCGTAAGTGGGGCTAGGCGCTGTACACGGTATATGGATCAAACACCGATTAACCCTCTCATGTTCTTTAGGACCACAGCTGGCCTCTAGCACAGTTTGACAAACAAAGTGATTAGCAGAAGGGTTTGTTTTTTTTCTGGCATTAAGAAATGTGATGACTGTACTTCTAAGTGTGTATTTCTCTGGACACTTGCTTGAAGGCGATTGTTTTTTTTTTAAAGATGTTTCCACCAGCTCAGAGAGTGTGGGGGTATCAGCTGCAGGTTTGCATTCTTGTTTGTCCCTCGGTGCTGAACGAAGGCTGTTTATAATAGAAGGGACATCTTCCATAGAGACCAGACTGTTTCCAGTGAGAGAGGCCCATGTTTGGGGGAGGGTACATACTGGGATGGGGGGGGGGGGGGTCCTTTGATTGGATGGGACTGGACACAGGGGCTGGTGTTTGTATGCCTTCTCCATTACAGTGAAAGCAAGTGGCTGGACTGCCTTTGTGAGATCCCATAGGACAGGACAGGACTAGCCTGCTGAGCCATTCTTTGCTCTGCCCTGTCCCCCTTTACCTTATCGTGCCCTTGGCTATTGAGATTGTAGATTTTGTGCATACCGTGGGAGTGTGTGCAGCTTAGACATAAGTTTCTGCACTGTACTTACACTTAGCTTTGTCATAAGGCAAAATATTTTCTGTCACTGGGTTGCTGTATGTTGCCACTAAGAAGGAATCAGCCAGAGGAACCACAGGTATGCAATAAAAGTATCCACAGTTTTATATAGTCGCAGTATAAGCTTAATGTTTTCCTTGAAGGAGACAGTCATACAGTGATGCAATGACGAATGGCCATGATAGTTTTCAAATGAGTTCCATTACTCTGTGTCATATGTGTTTCATTAGGAGTATTTGTGGGAATAATTGAACCTCCACTTCCAGGTAGCGTAGCAGAAATGTTTGTTCATTTGTACTCTAGATTTCCTCTTATTATTATGACTGCTGGATCTGTGACAGCGTCATCGTCCAAATGTTACATCGATCCCTTTTCTTCCTGAAGGGCGAACAACTTGTGAGAATTGAACTGGCTTTGGACGCATTAATACACGAAGAATGTAAAGAATGTACATTCCAATGCTTTGGCCTGAGCAGATTTCTCATGTTTGACAGTAAAGTGGTGTTTCTATTAGTTCTGGCCATGATGAAACATCAGTTCTTAGAAGACTAAAGGAAATACAGGATATATTTTAGTACATAGAGATGGAAAACTGCAAAGAGTTGTGCTTTGTAAAGTTAGATTTACAAAGTGTTTTATTTACAAGCAGTTGCTTATAACAGGACCATGTTTAGGCATCTACTATTGTAAAGACCAGATTTTGTTAAGGACCATAAACAATACTTGTTGTCACAGGTTTCCAATGCATCTTGCTCTTAACCATAATGTTTAGAGTGACCCAACGTTTATCCCAGCAGTGTTATACTTTCTATTCACAGTTGGGAAGGCATTTTGTAATGTTATATATATATATAGACCTGAATGAGTAGCAGTGCAAGAAAGAGCAACTTTTGGAGTCAAGTGTGATGCTGGTGAAATCTTTTGCGAGTGTTCTGCAGGTAGTTTTAAGGTTACACTTGCTCCTGTTCGTCAAAAAGTGAAACTTACTAACCATGCCTAAACTACTGAATTCTTAGAGGACTTCAATGACATCTGTCCATGTGCTTCTCAACCACGTTAAAATGGGCAGCATGAACTATCTGAAATGCTTTTCAACTGTCTTAGAACAGCACCCTAAATGAAACACGTGCCTGCAGAGCTATTAAAAGAAATATAGATTATGGCTGAAGGGTATTTTTATCCACGCCTCTTTACTACATTTATGGGTTTTCAGTTGTGGTGTTTATAGAGTATGAATAGGCAATACAGAAGTTTTCTGCCCACCAAATGACAGGATTGAATCCTAGAGCTTGGATTGGAATTCCCAGAGCCCCCCATTTCAAATGTAGCAGTCACTGAAGAAAGAGCACTTCGTCTTAGAGGTCTTGTTTTTTAAGTCAATAATATTGTTGCTCAAATTCTTTGAGCACTGATTAAACTGATGCATGAAAAGACATGCTCTGTACAGTTTTATATCTTCTGTTCTGATTATTACAGCCTTTGATAATCTTATCATGAAGCTGCATAAGGCCTGGGAGAAGTAATAAATAGGTTCCAGTAAGCACTGTGGGTTTCCTTTTGTTCCAGTTGAGTTATGAGTCAGGTTATAAAGCAGACGTGCTGGAGGACTCAAGTTTTATGCCAGCATTTGGCACGTTCAGGGCATCAGTTTTTCAAAAAAAACTTTAGGTTTTTCAGACC